CTAAGCGATACTTCAGGAGCAACGACAGCTCCTTGTTCATGAAGGTGTCGATCGAGTTGGTGATGGGGATCTGAACGAACGGGGTGCCCTCCGCAATCTTGCTCTCATCGTCGACGTCGACGTGGTTGAACTTGGGGTTAAATGCGGTAATGGCCGAAGCTAACGTGGGTTTGTACGACGCACACTTTCCAAAACTGAACTCCATCGAGGAAACGTGGCCCGGCGAAAGCTTTATGAAGTTCTCCACGGAAGGGTAGGCTGAGTGGTATTTGCAGAGCAAGACGATGTAGCTGTCGCGCTCGACTTCCCAGGCCTCAAGTGTGTCGTCAGGAAGACCAAGATGCGACACGGGGAGCGAGAGTGCGAAGGTGCAGCCGGATTGCTGGTCAGCGGAGACGTCCCCTAGGAATGCAATCTTTAAGCCTGCACTTTTGGCTTTGCGAAGATCGTCGATGAAACGTCTGGTGATTTCGCAAGTTCCCTGGGTAACGTCGGATTGTTGAATGTAAGCTGGGTTGGCATTTCCCAGGCCAAAGTCCATTATGTCGTCGTCATAGTCGTATTCGTCCTCCCCTTCGGTTTCTTCGTCGTCATTCTCGTCGTTCTCATCCGTCATCTCCACATCAGAGCCATTTCCGTCGGCAGCGAGGGCAGTGCTCAACTTCCTTGATAAGTAGGTAAGGGTCTCAAGCACCGTCTTGCTTTGTGTAGCGCTTGGAAGCTCGTCGAGAAGAGCAGATATAGACCGAGGAGTGGAATCATCATCTGTATAGGCCAAGAACCCTGAATTTTGTGGATAGTCGTCGATATTCAAGGTGATGAGGCGCATGACCAGAGGTGAGGAGATCGCGCCGTGTGAGAAGGTGAGGACAACCTGGCCATCGTCATCGCCCTTTGCGACCTGAGAGATCTGGTCAACAGTCTGCTGACAGGCATGCGCCAAATCGCTGTTGAATTTCCTGCGGGTCATGGCGACGATGAACCCGGGAGCAGGGAAATGCCGTTGCTGAAATGGGTCTGGAAGTCGGATTTTAGTACTTTGTGCCAGTGGGTTGGCCAGAAACGGTTTGTGAGGGCGAGAATGGGAAGCAGAGGGATCAACGGTGCCGGCTCTTAAGGGGAAAAAGTTGGTTAAGAAAAGACCTGGAGAAGGACAGGGACGAGGGATATTGGGGACGAAAAGGGCCAGTTAGAAACGGAAAGGGAAGGAAGTAAAGGCAAGCGAAGGAAAGAAGAAGGGTGAAGACGACGAGAGACGACGGCGACGATGACAAGAGACGGCGACGAAGACGACGATAATGATGACGAGAGAAAATAGGCAAGAAGGCGCAAGTTGGAAGTAGAAACTGACCGTAATGTGAAGCAGGCGTAATGGGTAGAGTCCAGCTGTATGTGCGTCTTTGGGAGGGCGTACAATCAATCCTCTATTGTTTTCGAGAAAGAGCCGTCGACAAAAGCCTTGTCGACAGCCACTTAGTTGCAGAGGCAAAGAAAGGCTGCCTGCAATAAACTGGCGAAAGAAATTAGCAGTTGAGTCGATTGAAATCCTCAAAGTTTGACTCACGAAAAAACGCAGAGGTCAAGGAGACCAAAAGGTGAGAAGGAGCAGGTCGGCGCGCTCAGGCAATGAAGGCAATAACGGGCTGGCTCTCCACCCTTTTCCCGGCAACCTTTTGGGCTATCCAGAGAGGGTGTTATTTGACCTGTTGGTTCTAGAGACTCTCTTTTTTCAAGTTCCTGGAAACAAAAAGTGAGCTTACTGGAGCGGAAAGGAAGGTGTCGCAAGGTGTGGTGGTATGGGCAGGCGTACAGGGAGGTGCAGCGTGGGTAAGGTATTTAGGAAAGACACAGTACCGCACCATACCACAAGGTAAGGGAATTACAGAGGTGAAGAGGTCAGGTTTGTCTCGCTTGGGAGTGACAGACCAGTCTCTATTGCCATCCATGACCAGATTCCCGGTCGCAGGCAACTGAGCAGGCAGGCGCTGCAGCCTGGGCCGAACCGCACCGCGGGAGGCCGACCTCTCCAACAGCGGTACCAACAACCGTCAAGGCTCCATTGTGCGAAGCAATTGGATGCCCAAGGCAAACTGCATGTTCCTCTTTCAGCGTTGGCACTCAGGAGGTCTAGGAATTAAGTCCATCGGAACCAACAACCAGGACGTTGGGGAATGGTTACATTAATTCCATATTACATAATGCGAGGTAAGTCAGTTAGGTTCCCCCTAGTGTTCCCCGAACATGGAGTCGCATCGCATCGGAGATGGTCGTCCGGCCGGCCCCACGCAGACCGAAGCTCCCATCCTTACACTTGTCTTGCTTGCACCGTGACCGAGTCCCTGGTGTGAGGTAGACGCCTTTTCTTTTTCTTCTGCATCTTGATTGCAACGCACGCTTAATGCAACAGTCAACGCCTCCAATATACGAAAGATGAGAAAACCTCCAGGCAATTACGTACCGCCGAGTACTTACACAAGAACACCACCAGCGCAACCCCGCTAAATCGCGTTCATTCGAAATCTTTCCAGCCCGTTAGACCTGAGCTGTACCGGCATGCCGCCCCTCCAACGATAGTAGCCAACAACCTTCTTCACCGCACCACCCCATCCCAGCGTTCCCCGCTGCCACGCCTTGGGACTTGTTGTACCGTCCCTACATTGCTGTACCATCATGGTCGGATTGACTGCCGAGTCAGCCATTACTTCAATGTCACCCACGCCGGGCTGTGGCATGTCGACGAACAGTTCCGTGTTCAGCCGCGACGGTCGTCTCCACCTAGACTGCGGCATCCCCATCCCGCCACTGCTGTTAACACGGGTTTTGCCGTCAACAGACGACAGGACCGACTCAATACTGTCAGACGCCACTTCGAAGTAAACCTCGAGACATCGCAATTGATCCAGGTAGATGATGAGCAGGCATAAGATGGCCGCACCGGCCGAAGCAACCCAAAACACCCAGAACCGAGGCGCATTTGGCGAGTATTCGTCATTCATGGAGAGAATCGCCGATACCACGGTAAAGGGGAGGAGAATGCCGCCAAGATAAGTGACACGGTCGAGCGCACGCTGGTTCGCCTCCTTGTCGTCCGCCCAGTAGTTGCCTTGCAAGCTCGGAAGGGATCGCACACTTTTTTCCGGTAAGCCTGCATCTCGTGTCCGTGGTTGCGCTGTCGTTAGTCCTCGGGTTGAAGGCAGCCACGAAGTCTGGGACGGAGCTGTTGTTGCCAGACGCGATATAGCGATGCGACGCTGCAGTCGGCCCAGGAGGTGTCGCCAGCTCGAATGGTGCATCTCACCCATGATGGGGTGCCGTCTAGGGTCTTGAGATTCGTCGAGATTTTGTTCCAAGGACTCGGTAGCCTGCCAGAACAACGACGCATCTTGTGAATCCGACTGAGGAAGCGTTTCGAAAAAGTCCAGCCATTTGCCGTATACCGACTCAAACAGGAGTTCGGGAAGCTCTTCCCTGGCCACCTTTGTGTACCGAAATGTTCTCAGCAGGCTGTCCTCGAGACCTGGGATTTCGTCTCCTTCGGCAATCAAGACGTTCCACACAGAAGTACCATCCAGCTGCGATTCATCGATTTTGCTCTGCCACGACCTCGTCACAGATAGAGGTCGCCGAGCCTTTCCAAGGTGCGAAGACGGATCAAGCCAAACCGGTCGATCCAAAAACAGTACTATTGAATGGTCAGTTGAAAGCCACAGCCAAGAATTTCCGCAATACTTGCCGTCAGCTTTGCTGCTCATCCACAAGGATGCATGGGAGAAGATGACAGACAGACCATCTCCGGACAGCGAATGGAAGGGTGCTTCATCCATCACGTCCACCAAGTCCGACTGTCTGGCCGACGGCTTGTACCCCAGATCTGGCTCGATCGCAGTTCGATGCACTCTTACGAGCTCAGGATACTCAAAGGATATAAAACTGTCGCCATTGTCCTGCCTCAGCGGCCGATATCGCCGCCTCCCAGCGTGTGCCTCGAGAAATTCGGGATGGACACCTAGTGAGTCCCTCAAGACCTGGACCAAGTCCAGCGGCAGCCCCTGGATGATGGTGAGCTTCCTGCGCCCTACAGACTCTCTCACGAGATCCTCTGCATGGCTCAGGAGTCGCTGCCTACATCTTTCACCCTCCCAGTCGAGAACATACGCGGATGAGACTGTCTCAGGCAGCTTGCTGCCGAGAGATGATCTGCGAACGAGTAAAGCCGGCTTGTTGGTGCGCTTGGTGTGTTCGACGGCGTCGCTCGCTGTGGGTGGCGGCGATTGCTGATCGACTTTCTCGGTGCTAGACATCGTTGCGATTCTTTCGAACAATTCTAGCCTGCAATAGATTCGGAGACATGAAACCTGCGACCTGCGACAGCCTTTGGCCGGGGCAGAAATTGCAGTTATTAAGAAGAATGCGATAGCTGGCACACTTGCCCAATCGACCGTCAAGTGACTTGCGCTAAGACCGTCTCGAAATATCGAATTGATGTTTTCTCTCCAGCTTCACCGGAGGGCACTAGCTCCCCCTTAACCTAGCCTTAGCCACTTGGTGCAGGCGACAGCCATGGCAGCTCCATGGTGGCTTCTTCGTAAAATGACAGGCTCGACGTTTGGCGAGCCTTAGCTTCGAAGCTATCCATGGGGATCAACAGTCCTTGCCACGTCAAGCCGTACCAGGCGCATTCGGTGCTTGCGACGCGTGGGAGATGTGCTCTTTACCGCTCGTCTTGTCTTGGAATGAGGAGGTGCGAATGTTGAGAAAACAATGAGAAAGACTGACTGACTAGAGTCGCTAAATTGGTCATCAGATGTGGTGCCTGAGTCGCTTGCATCCTATTGGTCTCTCACCGAGACCTTCGCCGAAGTGGGGGTGCTTTATCTTGCGGTCGTCTTCCGGCGGGGTTAGACGCGTCCAGCGCGACTCACCGAAACATCCACCGCCGACAACGCACTCTATCTCAACACCCCACGAGGCCACTGGACTCGTATCCTGTATCCGCGACCATGGAACAACCAAGGGAATCGACGATGTACCAACAGCAGCCTGAGCTGACGCCCCTCGAGGCGGAGGTTCTTGAGGAGTACGAGAAACTGGCGGACAACATGAAAAAGGTTTGTCCATAGGAGCCCTCTCGCCGTTCTGATGAGCCATGTATGCTGACTTGATTGTCCACGCAGCTGGCATCTACTCTAGAAGATCTGAGCAGCTCCCCCAGCACTGAAATCCTGGATGGCCTTCGCGAACTAGAGCGCAAGACGAGCTTGGTCTTCACCCTTCTGAAGGCTAGCGTGTACAGCATAGTACTGCAACAAGAGATTGACTGGGGCGACCAAGCTGGCAACCAGGAGTAGAAGGAAGTTGGATGACGAAATGATACGTCTGGACAAACGAAAACGCTGGCACTTTGACAGACACAGTTGAAAGAACAACGGAGGTGTCCTTGCGCACAAGACATACGGCTGCATGGGCAAGTGATGAAGCATACGACCAAGAGCAGATACCCTTTAATTAAGAGCAGGGAATGATGAAAAAAGCTCAATTTCGACCTTTCCTAATTACCGTATAACTTTTGGAAATGCTCGTAACCTGATACCTATGCGCGTCTCCATGGCATACGGGGCCTTGGGGCCTGATTTGCCCAGCCTATGGCGAGACACTTGGCGACCAGATGCGAAGCAAAATACATGCGCTCCAAACGGGCACAAAAGCTCGTGAACTCAGGCGACGGGCAGCATTGCCTTGTTGGTTCGAGCTTAGCTAGGCAGGAAGACAGCGATTTTCCGGCAGGCCAATGTGCCAATTTGCGAATGGGTCAAATTATGCATACCTTACTTACGTGACAAGCTGCCAAACTCATGACACCCATTGCACGACACAACATGGACCAGGAGGCAGGATGCGCCAGGTGTGGAGGATCTGATCTGGGGTTCGCATGGCGGGGCCTTGTAAGTACGGCATTTGGACGAATGAACCAATGAAGCTACCGCTGCGGCAAGCTTCCAGCTCGGGCCCAGTGGATGATCGGAACCTCTACCTACCTTACTTTTACCCTTCACCTCAAGAGCTCTCACTGTGAGCTAAATCGCTGAAACATCCTACGACACAAAGAACCTGACTTGCCCAGTCTGGTGTTGGTGTCGTATTGCTCACCGCCCGCCGGCAGAGCGACGTCTTGAACCAGCTTGCTGTTCTGACGAGACTAAACTTAGCATCATCGCACTCACCAGAAGCTAACGACACAACGTCTGTCCCTGCCGTTGTCGTCCTAGTTGTTCCATTTACCTCTTGCCGTGGTTGCTGTTGGCCCTGCTCGTGCTTGCCATCTCAGTCCTCCCTGTCGTTTGGTCTTGCCGCTCCCTATCGTCCTGTGTGCACCATTCGGATACTGCCCTGGGCCAAACCGACACTACAAACGCCCGCCCGTCGCTGTGGTTCCCCCCAGAACACACTACACTGACCTACCACCACCTTAGCCTGAGGCACGTCCGACGTCTTGGCACACACTCCCACTCAACCCTGACAGCATCGCCTCAAACGCATCTCACGACTGCTTCCTGACCTCCATTGGACTCGGGCCGCCCTCCAGTCCAAACGCTGCAATTCGCTCCTCCCGGCTCGCCCCAAATGCATCGCGCAGCAGCAAGGGCTTTGCGGACAACCTACCGATGTACGGCCCGTAGCTTCGCACGCAACAGCCGGCGAGGCCTCTTCGAACGCTATCCTCCATCGTCTTCCTTTTCAACCCGACCCGTCCTGCGATCCTCTCCTCAACGAACTTCCTCAGAGCATGCTGACCAGCTGAATTCCTCCATGTATTTCCGCCGATTTTCCGTCGCCCTCGTGTCTGGCCTCGTCGGCTACGGCGCATGGTACTCGTACAACGGAACAGCTATTAACAAGTCACACTTGACAAGAAGCTTCACGTCTGGCGCGACCGGCCCCGCCGGCGACGCTGCCCCTACGCGCACCGTTCTAGTAGTCGGTGCCGATCAATTACACACTGGGACCTTTGTCGGAGAGGGACCGATATCGAAGACGTCGAGCGACGACGGACGGAAGATTATCGAGATGTTGACCCCGGAGCAGGCCACCCAGAAACTGCGCAAGACGGAACAGTCCTTCATGGTCAACAGAGGACAGGGCGTCGTCCGATATGACTTGGTCCAGCTACCTAGCAACGATCCCATCGAGGACGACCACGCCGAAAAGATCGTCGAGGTCCCCAACAAGGCGGCTGGCGCAGTTGGAAACAGCAATGATTGGATGTTCTGGGGCGTTTTCGATGGTCATGCGTAAGTTTGCGTGCGCTCAATGGACCATTCGCAATGGCTAACCAAGCGATAGCGGCTGGACCACATCTGCCAAGTTGCGCCAGGAGTTGATTCTCTCCGTGGCCAAGGAGCTCAACACTACGTACCAGGCGTCCAAAGACCTGTCCCCGCCCGCCGAGGCCATCGACGCGGCCATTAAGTCCGGCTTCACCCGTCTGGACGATGAGATCGTTAACCAGAGCGTCGAGAGGGTTTTCAAGGCTGGCTCTAAGACCATGGCTGCTGAACTCCTCGCGCCTGCCCTGTCGGGCTCTTGTGCGCTCCTGTCCTTCTACGATAGCCGATCAAAGCTTCTGCGCGTCGCCTGCACCGGCGATTCGCGCGCTGTGCTCGGCCGCCGATCATCCAACGGCAAGTGGACCGCCACCGCTCTCTCCGTGGACCAGACCGGCAGCAACCCCGACGAGGCCACGCGCATGCGCAAGCTCCACCCGGGCGAGGACCGCGTCGTGCATAATGGCCGCGTACTCGGTGGTCTGGAGCCCACGCGCGCTTTCGGCGATGCCAGCTACAAGTGGAGCCGGGACATCACCAACCGCCTCAGAGAGTCTTTCTTCGCCCGCTCTGCCTCGCCCCTCCTCAAGACGCCTCCTTACGTTACCGCCGAGCCTGTCGTCACCACGACTAAGATTGAGCCCGAGAACGGGGACTTCGTCGTCATGGCCACTGACGGCCTGTGGGAGATGCTGACCAACGAGGAGGTCGTCGGTCTCGTCGGCAAGTGGATCGAGAGCCAGGCCAGCGGCTCCGGCTCGCAGTTCGACTCGGCCTGGTCCAAGATTTTCGGATCCAAGCAGTCTGGTCTGCCTGTTGAGCAAGCCAACGACAAGGGAGTTGACGGGCAGAAGACGCCTATCCGCCTCCAGCAATGGGGCATCTCCCCCGACGCCCCCGAGCGGTTCGTCGTCAAGGACAAGAACGTAGCCACCCACCTAGTGCGCAACGCTCTTGGTGGAAAGAACGAGGAGCAAGTGTGCGCCCTGTTGACCCTACCATCCCCCTTTTCTAGACGCTATCGGTAAGTCTATTATCTCGGTTTTTGAATCTGCTTCGTTTGATTCAGGACTAACACCCTACGTAGTGACGACTTGACCGTCCAGGTCATCTTCTTCGGCCACGGTGAGAAGACGGGCGAGGTCAACCTGAACGAGGAGGCCACGGCTCAACAGCTCTTGAAGGCCAAGCTTTAAATGGAGTTTCCCAGCACAAGGTGATGAGAGAAAACACTGCCCGGAAGTTGAGCGACTCTGGAGACAACAGGTCTCAAGCAAAAAACAGTGGTAAAACAGTAAGTGAGAGAGTAAAAAAGAGAGACCGTGACTGTACCAGTGCTTTAGTCATTATGTGAATAGCGATACGAGGGGGAAGGGAGCCGCTGAAATGCGCTCAGACTCACGGACAGCGACAACAGGATGGCGTCAACTATCAGGGCGTCCGAAGTATTAAAAAAAAAAAAAAAAAAAGAGGGCGATCTTGTACTAGCAATAGCCTTGCTGCCAGATAGAGTTGAGGTTTTATTGCGTGGAAGCTTACGCGGGCTGTAGTAATTTCTCAAAAAAGAGAGATATATCCGCGTCTTAAGGGAATACAGCTTCGGCACACAACATGTGATCAAAGTAGTGCGTGAGCCTAGCTATGACCCGTCTTACCAAGTCCCACCTGTCAGCAATTGAGACTATCCTGACCTCTGGATCGCATTCAGCTTTCAACCACCAGAACCCCCTTCTAAGTCGATTCGTCCCGCGTTCAAACCAGTCCTGAGCCCCGATGACCAACCCTCGGATGACGCTAGTCCAGACGTCCGCTCAGCCGGCCCGTCCCACCGAAAGCTATCCCATCTGCGGCTGCTCACAGACAAACCTCACGGGCACAAGGCAGAGTCCGAGTTTTTACGTTTCATTCATGGATGGTGGTAATGATGGCAAAAGGGTTTACAGCAATATATCGCTCCTCCCCCCAACAACTACGACAACCCCTAGTTTCCTTTCCATCCACCCACCCTCGCGCACTACACTTGCCTCTCTCATTCTCTCTCTCTCTCTTGAACTCTGTCTGTCTCTTTGTTTGAGTATCCCACTCGATAAACGCCAGGGGTTGGTTTCCAGTAAAACAAAATCAGCAAGAAAAAAAAGGCGACCAAGCAAAAACAAAATAACTCCCAATGATGAAGGCGCGGAGACCATATGCTGCTGGTTTGGTTTTGTTTTCGTCGTGAGAATCCCAAGGAGGTCCGAAGGGTCGTTAAGTAGTTTTTCTTTCCGCCTTTGCAATTCGAGGCATGAGTGATATCCTTTTTCGTTCATACCCTTCGTTCTCCTGTTCAAATTCTCTGGCGTGTTTCTTCCTCTCTCCAATCTCGTCGTTGTAAATGATAGTCCATGACCCTGAGCAGCACCCAAACCCTTGCCCCTGATGCATCTCTCTCCCTCTCTCTCGTACTAGAAGATCCACTCTTTCTCACCCATTAACGTGAAGTTCTTGATACATAGCCTCGTTGGTTGTTCAGGTCTGGCAGACGGGTGACCATGCGCAGACTGCAGGGATGGGTTTCGAAACCACGTTAGTCTCCGCCGTTCACCTCGAATGGTCGTCTCCTTCGTGGTGGAGGGTAACGCTGTTGAACTCCTCAAAAGGATCAGCAACCTCACCACCAGGAGTCGCCAGGCCGCTGTCCAAAGGCACTCCCTTCGCGTTCATCGGCCTGGATCCGCTAAGATCCACACTCTCACTCTCCTTCACGTTGCGGAAGTTGACTGTGTCAACACCGCGGCCTGCAACGGGTACAATTGGCGGCTTCATGTGGCGGATCAACGCCCACTGAGTCGTCCTGAAGAACGGATGCGCCTTGATATCCGAAGCACCAGCCTTGGCACCTAACCTCCTGTTCTCATCCTTGATCAGGAGTTTGCGGATTAAAGATTTGCAGAGACTGTAGACTCGTTAGCAATGTTTCTGTGGGATTCAGCCGGTTGGCAGCTTACTTAGTCAGTTGCGGAGCCCCGGCGTGATCCGGGAAGGGG